GCTATGTACGTAATTCTTCCTGTAATTCAGAATCAACTAAAATACTTATAGTTATGTATGTAATTCTTCCTGTAATTCAGAATCAACTAAAATACTTATAGTTATGTACGTAATTTTTCCTGTAATTCAGAATCAACTAAAATACTTATAGTTATATTCGAGTAGTAAGGTTGGCACTATCGCATCCGAAGGATGCTGTCTCACGCTGATTGGCTGCCTCAGAGGAGGGAGAGATGGGAGTGATGTCATCAAAGATGACGAGTTCATAGTTCCAAATTTTGCCACCAGTCACATTATAAGTTTTACTTATTGCATGATATTACCCTTTTTAGGGCGATTTAAACCTACAGACATGTATTGTGTGCCTGGTAAAAATGTATGTTGTGATCATGTTATGTTAAATAATGTTTTTGACAATTTATTATATCACTGAAAATCTTTATACACTTGGTTGCTAATTAAAAAGAGTAAATTTTAAGTAAGATATCGTCCTTTTAGGTAAGGACATGTAATTAACTGATGAATTAGCGTTAAGCGTCCTTTTTTTTATGACGATTTAATGAATTAGTCTTAAGCATCCTTTTTAGGACGAATTCATTATTGGTTTATTGAATTAATAATAAATGATTTAGTGTTAAGCGTCCATTTTTAGGACGATTTAATTATAAATGAATTAATTATACTCATGTTGAGACACGTTTTGGGTGAGTCATAGCCGTCTATCATGACTGCCTAGAAACACGTTCCTCTACTTTGTGGTAATATTAAGTAATCATCCATTATGGCCGCCTGTCATGCGCCCCTAGTGTTAAATTTAGGCATCTTCGACAACGACACACACACACACACACACAAGTGGCGCCCTCTGATAGCAAAATTATAAATATTATCTCGTCATCTTTGATGACATCACCCCCTCCCCTGAGGCAGCTAATCAGCGTGAGGCGGCATCCTTTGGATGCGATAGTGCCAACCTATACGTCATTCTTCCTGTAATTCAGAATCAACTAAAATACTAATTGTTATGTAAACCATTTCTCCTATAATACAGAATCAGCTAAAATACTAATTACAAAATTGAGGGCAAACAAGACAATTGTACGTTTCACAAACACATCATTTATTCACGACCATGGTTTCGTCAGTAAAGGTATCATCAGGTACCTTTTCCTCAATCTTGTAATAATGGAGTTTCATCAAATACCGACGGTTTCAAGTATCAATTATATAAAATACTAATAGCTACGAACACCACTCCTCCTGTAATTCAGAATTAACTTTTGTTTGTTTGTTTATAGTTAAGCACAAAGCTATACATTGGGCTATCTGTGCTGTGCCTATCATAGGTATTGAAACCAGATTTCTACCGTTAGAAGTTCGCAAACATGCCGCTCTGCCACTGGTGGGCAAGAATTAACTAAAATAAACATTATGAAAACCCCTATAGATGAAATCAGGCGAATCTGGAGACAGAGTTAAAGAAACAGCAAGAAATATTTAAAATTAATGGATATTAAATAATTAAACAACAAAATAAAGATGGAAAGTTTTTCGGATCACCCATACATAAGAGATGTGAAACAACCACGTTCCATCACATCCGTAATCTATAAACCATAAGAACTGCTTACTACTGTATTTGATATCCTCAGAATGGTTACGGAAAATATTTATATGCTGACTTGTGAGAAAAAGAAAAAATTAAAGATTCAGGTTTACGATTACGCCCTAAAGTATATAATATTATTGTGGACTGAAGTACACTGGGGAGACAAAAAAGATACTGACCATTATAAATAACACCAGGATGCTACATAAGTCAACAACACCAAGACATTCATTGTAGGAATCCAAAACAGAGCATTAGAGCGAACAATTGGTTTTTATGTATTTCGTTAGTTATGATATATCTGTCTTTCTCTAAAATTAGTTTATTTGATATCATTGGTTATAATGTTTAAAGGCATGAACTTATGTTTGAGAATATGGAACTGGCACTAATATAGGTCTGAACTTGGCAGAACTGAGCTCAGTGACATATGGATTCCACTCATAGTTTTTATTGCAAATAATAATTAATTATTTTTGTTTTGTTTTCCATCTTTAAATTTTCAAATGTCGACATTAATTATTATAATATATGCCAGTAAAGTGTAACATAGAGATAGGTGTTTTATGTGTCAATATATGACAATAAGACCGGCAATAATTGTTCACACGACTTTCATTACTAGTTCTATAGGGATTTACAGTAAGAAGAACATAATAGCATCTAGACAACACACTTTGTGAGCTTCATGACAACACCCGAAACTCTATTTATAACGCTTATTCAACAATCAATCATGATGTATTCCCCAATTCTGAAGGTCGACAATTATTTCTCTATTATTCTCTATTTCTAGCTGTCTGCATCAACTTTCTTCATTCAGACTTCTCACATTTAATCCATTTTCTAATGTCGTCGAGCCAAGTGAGTCTCTGCTGCCTCTCGTTCTTCTTTCTTCGATTTTACCCACCGTTCTCTGCCTCAGATCTAATTGTATGCTTAAAGTAGCATACCTTTCGTTTCCTACATATGTCCAGCAGTTGTCTTTATTTTTCTTTGTACGTTGCAATACATCCTAAATTACGTTTTCTTTTATATGTATCTGATCATCATCTTTCGTCTATAACATCAAAATTCAATTCTTCATTTCAATTGTCGTTTTTTTTTCAGCAAACACGGTCCACGTTTCCACCTCGTTGAGTTGAACTGACCGTACATAACATTCTAGTAGCCTCTCCTTCAGTTCTGGTTTCACATCTCCATGTCCAATTTGTCGAGATTGAAGGATTCTTCAATCTTGATCCCATCTGTATCAGTAATTGCCTCTCTCACCAACTTCTTTGCATATAAATTACATAATGTTGGTGGCAGCACGTATCCTTGTTGTACGCTTCAACTGTACACTAATGTTTAGTTCTCGCTGCTGCTTTCTGACTCCAATATAAATTCTTTAGGATTCTTATGTCTACTTGATCTACTCCAAGCTGCTGCGGGTCCATTAAAGTTTCATGATTAACCTTGTCAAATTCATTTTCAAAGTCTGTGAAGCATACAGAAAGATTTATTTGCACCCCTATGGCTCTTGCATCTAATATCGTAAAACCAAATATGCTGTCGTGCCTTAACTTCTTCTAAAACCAATTGTTGTTTTTTGTTTTTTTCTAATAACTTAACCTTACGTTTAACTCTATTGATAAACGCTTTGACAATATTTTTGAGGTGTGATTGATCAAACTGAAAGTCCTGTACTGGCCACAATTCAGAGTCTTGGGGATTGGTATGTAACGCCATGTGTCGGCGAAGCATGACCTGCAGATCGGTGTTTTGTATGACATTATACCATAATAAGATTGAGAATAATTTATCTTTATTTACCTTCTATTGGTTTCTAGTAAGAAGGACATAACTACATCTCTACTGCACATTTTATGTGCCTTATGCCTCAGCAGACAAAGCTTTTCGAACAATACCAGAACTCATCACGTCGACTGGGCATGCAACAAAAAAGCTTCTCCGCTGTGTCTGCCGTAGGAATAAAACCCTGAATTGTAGCGTTATAAGCCCTCAAGCTTACCACTGAGCCACCGAGTAACAATTGTTAATCAGTGAACGTAATTATTCTGTTACATGACACACTCATGTTACATGAATAATATTTACTGTTACTCAGTAAATATAAACGTTCATTGTGTTAATGTATTAACGATATCAGATTGTTACCAAGTAGAATAGATTTTCTTGATAGTGTGACATAATCGTCAAATTATCAATTATTAAAACATCTTATCCAGGTAAATGTATTAAAGTAACATCAACTTTAAGTTGTTATTCAAGAATATTTTTTCATGTTTTTGTGTAATAAAGACTTCCATTTATTCATTGAAATATTTAATATTTGCCATTTAATTTGTTAGGCTATGTTTTATTTAAAGGTTGTTATGAACGTTGGGTCACTCTTCTATTTAGTCAGGTAGGCCATCATAACTTATTAGATCACATATTTTCCTATTTTTTCAGTTTTACTTCTCTCTAATGTATTAGGTTGTGATTCTCTACCAACGACAATAACAGCAAGATTACCGAGTTTTTAAAATCTAAAAACCTTGACATTTAAAAGATACAAAACTATCACTGTGATGATTCGAACACATGAACAAAGTTAATGAACGTAAAGCATTTTTCTAATAGAATAATCTCAAGCCATCAAAAAATATATTAATATCAACTTTCGCTGAGGAAGCAAATCAATATCCTGTTTGTTAGATATTTTTAGTTTTATATTATTCAGCTTACAGAGTGAAACAGCCAAAACAATATGACATTTCATCGAATTCATTATTCAATATTATACAGCAGACCAACTGTTTAATAATTGTGTGTGTATATATATATATATATATGTTAAAGATTTATTTTCCAATATACAATATCCAAAAGTAATCATAAAATGTTTGAGCAGATTCAAGTTATCATTTTTACATTATAGTCAGTGAAAAAAAATCTGCAAAGAAGATAGTATTATTTCAAGGAATTTGCATCTAAGAGTAGAAACGCCAAGTAACAAAGGAGCAATTAATTTCCTTTTTGGTTATAAGTTAATAATTTAACTCCAAAAATCCAACTTTTATTACCTACAATTATCAGAAGTTTCTTCAATAAAGGGAAATTCTGATTCTGCTCGATATCTGACACGGTTGTGATACGTAATTCACATATAGGTGCATAACACTGGAATTTACATGTAACAGATGACTTACTCGACAAATTGTTTTCCTGTTTCCCAGGGTTTTCCAACAGTTCCACAACTGTCAGGAGCATCTGTGATATTTTCGTTGTGGATCAGGTCTCGTAAGCCTAATCCAATGATGTAAACACTGTCCCAGATGTGACCCGTCGTATCTGAGGCATTAACCAATGTAAGCGCTAAAATACCTGAAAGCAGCAATTTTACTGAAATGTTAAATAGTTACATAATCAGATTAAAATGAAACCATTATCAATATTTGTAGATAAATATGAAGAGAAACACAAGTTATTTTTATTACAGAAATAGGCATGAAATATACAACAAAATATATCGTTCTCACCCTAATACGGAGTGTGATAAAAGGAACGAGCAACAAACTTTTTTTCAGTATTAATATGACATTTCAGTACAGATGTAGCCACCACTGCGTTTCTTTCATCACAACAAACAATGGTACATTCATAAACGTTTTTTTTGCAACAAATATGACCATCACTCTAACTTTTCTGTTCACTACAAACGTATCCAACACTTTGATTTATCTATTCTATACAAATAATTGTAACAGCTACCAACAGTTTGCTTTCAACAATATTCGTGGTTACAATGACCAGCAGTTTGATCACTATACACCTTAACTGACGCTATAATTTTATTACTCCGTACAGATTGTAACAGTCACCAACAGTTCATGACATACAGTCTTACAATGTCCAACATCTTGTTCATAGTATCCATTGATTCACAACAGAGGGGTACACTGCGACGTCTTTTTTCAAGAGAGACTGGATCATAACCATAGTTTACTTGTTCTTTACAAACACAGCTACATTATTAACTAGTATGTTAACTTCTGATATTTCGCTAGATATCAGAATAACTCGTTGAGCAACAATTACAAACAGGTAAGTAACTTAACTAAAAGCGTTTGAGTTGTATATTACAATGTGAATACTAGTATAAATGTATAGTGTATATTACATTATGAATACTAATATAAATGTATAGTGTATATTACATTATGAATATTATTATAAATGTATAGTGTATATTACATTATGAATATTATTATAAATGTATAGTGTATATTACACTGTGAATATTAGTGTAAATGTATAGTGTATGTTACACTGTGAATATTAGTGTAAATGTATAATGTATGTTACACTGTGAATATTAGTGTAAATGTATATTGTATGTTACACCGTGAATATTAGTATAAATGTATAGTGTATGTTACACTGTGAATATTAGTGTAAATGTAAAGTGTACGTTACACTATCAATAATAGTGTCTACATATTTTCAGTGGCTCTCATTCTCCTTACCGTCTGGCCTACTGGATGCTAACAAAGCTTGTTCAGAAACAACCCATATATATCCAGGACTATTCATTTTCAGTTGCTCAACTTCACGAAATATTGATTCAGCATCTTCAGTGCTAAGTAAGAAAACAAATTGGTCTTTTAAAAAGTTTACACAGAATATGTATACACTTCAGCTTTGAAACACATTAGTGAAGATACAAAAGAAAATATATATGTTAACATTACAACATTATCATCGTTAGTTATCCATTTTTTCTATTCAGTGGCAGAATAATTTTGAAAATTATTTTTAAACTTTGCCTTTCTTACATTAGGCATAATTACCAAATGGGATTTTTCGTATACAAATTAGTAGAAAACACGTCTCTTTTCTTATGGGTTAAAGAAATACACATTTATAAGTTAAAATTATCACTTATCACAAAAGACAATGAAACATGTTATCACTGTAAATCATAATAATGTGACATGTAAAAAAGTGTAGCTTTATTATTCTCTTAAAAGGCATAAAAAGAATGTTAAATTGCTTGTAATAATCAAACCTAGTTAATTAAATCGCGGGAGAAGTGATTTTAGTATACGCTATGTTGTGTGTAACTTTGTTAACCATAGATTTCAGTTAATTGTTTGTAGAGAAAATAGACGTGTTTTAAATAAATTAAATAGACTAAATTCTCTTTAGTTGGGTAAAAACGGTTCCTCGTTCTGTACTGGTCAGATACGTTTTAATTCTTAATGTTCAAAAAATGCATAGGTTCAAAAAATCAATTAAAGACAAAAATACAAAACCCTATAACGAGAACGCTTTCGAAAGGTGGATCTTTCTTCATCAATTTGCTCCTGATGAAGGGTTTGGTATTTTTGTCAGATAATACGTTTTAAGATAACCATAATAGTATCAAAATGTTTTTGCTGGAGATATGATTTGTGTGTATCAAAAGAAAGAATATATAAATAATTTTCCAAATTTCCTCAAAACTAATCCAAGTTGGTACGATATGTATTAGACTATTTAATTAAAGAATACTTATAATCCATGTTGCCTAGCGATGAAGGAGATTTTAGTTTCCACTATGTATTGTTTTCTAATTATCTCAAACAAAATTTTTACTGTGTACCAAGAAATAAGTCTACTTAAATACTATTTTCTATCGGAGGACCCAATTACAATGAAACTGAATCATCAGCTGCCTTTATTTTAGATATTGAATGATTAGTAATTAATCATGTTAACATCTCTATAGTGCAAACTAAGTTCACACTTGCTAACTAAAAGAAAGTCTTTATAATGAGCTGAAGGCCAACTTACTTGGCATATAAAATAAAAACTCTGCAGTGTAAATCCTTTGTCTTCTCCAGATCCTGAATGATGTCTGTAAACCCAGGTTCGTATTCGATGACATCGTCAAGCTGTAAATAGAAGTGAACGTAAATACCTGTAAACCTTTCAAATTTACGGATAAAGAATGAAGTTGAAGATGAGTTAATAAATACATCTGTAAATTTATTAGTGTTTCGTGTGAACTTACATGAGTGTTACTTTCTTAACTCAGAAAGGTGGACTTTATTCAGATAATAGGTTTATAACGCTGGTGTATTTTCTGTGTAACGAAACATGAGATATGGGTTTGGTTTACGAATGATCTTAATTGTTCCGTCATTGCAGTTTCCTAGAAAAAGGTCTGAAAGGATCCAACCAAAAGAAAGGCCTAATTTCAACTCAGTTTAATTATTCCACGATTTTAGAAGGTTCAGATCTCTAAGGCTGGTGAATGGCTTAATGTAGGTAATGCTTTTATTTGGCGGGTATTAAACTATTTTGACATGCACTTTGTAAACATTCTATATAAGAAAACTTCCAGTCGATGATACTTCTTTTTTAATTTGAACATTGTTTGTTTGTTTGCTACACAATGGGCTATCTGTGCTCTGCCCACCACGGTATCGAAACCCGGATTGTAGCGTTGTAAGTCCGCAGACATACTGCTGTGCCACTGGGGGGCAACTTGAACATACCACTGAAGTCAGTAATAAATAATGGAAGCACTGATATTTTTACTTGTGTAAAATGATTTCTTTATATTATTATGACTGTCAAGTTTATGTTTATTTGTTACATGATCTTCAAGTGAAAGGCAGATGAAAGTAAAACGAATTAACTCAGAATGTCTGATACGTCTTACCTATTTGAAGCCTAGTAATGGATTAACAAGGTATTTCTTTGTCTTTACAGTCATATTAACGTCTATATAAATGTACCGAATTAATTCAAACATCTAGGATGAGTAACCAGAAGCTGATGTCTTTAAGGTTACAAACAATGAAGAGTTTTCAATAAAAACAAAACTGTACGGCTTATGAGACGTGCATGTCAAAATAACGCAAAGCAATGTTTTGGCAAAACGTAATGGTACAGGCTTTCAAACAGTCTCGGTGATAAAAGTAATGAATAAACTTAAAGTTTTGAACGAGCGACATTTACATGAATAAAGAGCGAATTTACATTTCTATCCATTTTATTCTAAGAAAAAGCATTTTAAGTGCGTTTTCTCGAATTGAATGACTTCTTTTTGAGATCCTTCGATGAAGACATACAAATATTAATTACTTATGTATTTTAATGTGTAGGAGTAAAGGATGTTTGGTCGCGTAACGTTTTTAGAATTAGATTTGTAGATTAAAAAAAAAATATTTTTATTATTTCTTTCAATAATCTATTGTTAAACAGCAGTCGACCCGAGAGTGGCTTATTATTTAACCTCACCAGACTATGAATCCAAGAGTTTATACTTCGCATCTTGTTGCCGCAAAAAAACAAACAAAAAATAACGCTCTCCATACTTTGGGGCCGTGAGTGCCCTATAAACACGACAGTCACATCACACTATTCAGTCACACAAGAGCCGTCCGATTGTTAATGGTGGGTACTGGTGATTAGCTGCCTTCCTTCTAGTCTATCAGTTAAAAATTAGGGACGGCTTCGCGTGAAAATTCTAAAACAAACAAAAAATAACTCTCTCCATACTTTGGGGCCGTGAGTGCCCTATAAACACGACAGTCACATCACACTATTCAGTCAAACAACAGCCGTCCGATTGTTAATGGTGGGTACTGGTGACTAGCTGCCTTCCTTCTAGTCTATCAGTTAAAAATTAGGGACGGCTTCGCGTGAAAATTCTAAAACAAACAAAATGACTAACTGCAGTAATGGCTAAGTCTATTAAGATCAACTGAAAACATGAGTATCTTATTTGTGACTTTATCTAGTGAGATGTGCTGGGAAGCATTAATTTTGACTCTAAAGCAATCTGTACTGATGAGTTTCACTTTTGACATCAGCTGTCAAGTTCAATTGAAAAACGTTTCTCTTGAGTTTACCTTCTGTACGAATCTAGGATTAGTAAATTTTAATCTTTGGTTTATTTGCTTAGTATAAGCAAACCTTTAGTTTGGCATTACATTTTGTTGTCTGGTACAAAACTTTAATTTTTGTGTTTATCTTGTTTTATTGACAAGTGTTTCTTCAAGGTTCTTTTTTCACATATAGATTTACTTGTGACTTTATAGTATGATCGATTGACAAACCTTTATTTTGGCTTTATCTGCTAGGTTTTGGAACCTGCCCAAAGTGTATCTTCCGTTGTTGTCTGAGCTATGAATAAAAACAACACACTTGTAGTGAAGAAATTTCAGAAGTTCTATCCACACGTCTGCTTGATGTGAGTAAGGGGGCACTGTCCGAAGAAAAGATGCGTGAAGGTTCTGGAATGAAGAATAAAGACATATTTACACAGATTTGATCTATATTTCAAAACAAAAATATTACGAACGTAATATGTTGCGAAATAAAATAGAATAAAATAAATTGAAAGCGTTTCAAAATTCCTTCTGCATAAAATTGTGAAATAAATATACACTGCATTACGTTTCGTTTTTAAGTTTGGTTTTTGGTTTGAACTGCTTATTGGACATTTAGATAATTTGATTTTTCTAGAAGACGTAAGGTTTCAAATCTGATTTTTGAAAATATAAGGCTAGTTGTTTCAAGTAATTTCACATTTTGATACTTACTCTGAGACTTAAGATATTTGATACATTACATAAAATGATCCGAACTGCTCTGTATACTGTAAAGTTCGTCCCTTAGAGTATAAATATAAGACTACAATTTTTTTCATAGATAAACACATGTTTTTGTTATTATTTGAAGAGTCGTAAATGTAAAAGAAAGGGAATTTTTGATGGTCTTATGTTTCTTTTTCGTCAAAGCACAGACTTTTGATGATAAAAAATAGAATATTTTGGCTTTTTATAACAGTTTGGAAAAATTAATTGTTAACATTAATATTGGCTATTCCTTAAACGTCTACATTAACTTAGGTTAGTTAAGGTAATAAAGAACATTTAAAACGTTACAAACAAAATGAAATATAAAATCATGTTTGAAAAAGTAAGGTTTTCACAGAGAAGACGGTATGATGTCTTCTCTTCTATGCAAGAATTATGCAAGTTTTGTCTGTGTGATTCGGGTAAAAATATACGTCTATACGTTTATATGTAAAGTGTTAAGGGAGTATGTTTCTAAAGATGAAGGGAGAACAACAATGCTTAGTACTGAACAGTTAGTTGCAATCATATGTTCCTATGGGTTACTGTGAACCAACAATCATATGTTTCTATGGGTTACTGTGAACCAACAATCATATGTTCCTGTGAGTTACTGTGAACCAACAATCATATGTTCCTGTGAGTTACTGTGAACCAGCAATCATATGTTCCTGTGAGTTATTGTGAACCAACAATCATATGTTCTTGTGAGTTACTGTGAACCAGCAATCATATGTTCCTGTGAGTTATTGTGAATCAACAATCATATGTTTCTGTGAG